GAAAACATCTCACAAGAATTCTGCCACAAAATCCGACACAGTGAAAGATAAACACCTTATGGGAGCAGAATATTTCTTCTCTCGCAATGGTTATAATGGTTCCAAAACTCCAATATAAAAAGGTATACTTTGTGTCCTATCCAGAGAAGTGAAAGAGAAATCTAAACATATCTTGGAGCATGGCTGGCCAACCTTTAAGAGTTATGGACTTCAATTCCCAAAATTCTCAAGCCAGCCATGCTCCCAGAATTCCTCAACCAGCATACTGGCTGGGGAATTCTGGGAGTTGAAGTCCACAGCTCTCAAAGTTGACACGGTTGAAAAGCACTGCCTAGGGGTTTTCTCTTTTATCTTTGTAGTGGGTAAAGTAAGGGTAAAGGTTTCCCTTGCACATATGTGCTAGTCGTTCCCGACTCTAGGGGGCGGTGCTCATCTCTGTTTCAAAGCCGAAGAGCCAGCGCTGTCCGAAGACGTCTCCATGGTCATGTGGCCAGCATGACTAAATGTCGAAGGCACATGGAACACTGTTACCTTCCCACCAAAGGTGGTTCCTATTTTTCTACTTGCATTTTTATGTGTTTTCTAACTGCTAGGTTGGCATAAGCTGGGACAAGTAACGGGAGCTCACTCTGTTACGTGGTGCTAGGGATTCGAACCTTTCTGATTGACAAGTTCAGCGTCTTAGCCACCGAGCCACAGAGTCCCTCTGTGTAGTGGTTATCTAGGGTCTACTGATCAGATATACAAGCCCTAGGTATCAACTACTCAACGTGCTTTCAGCAGAAGCAAATTTGCTCAGTCACAAGGCCCTCAAGAAACAGCTGTTTAAGTTTCTCCCCAAGACCTTTTAAAATGTGTTTTATGGTATTTATCCATTAGCAGAAACCAGCACGGTCTTTAATTAGGAGTGCAGGCTCATCACTAGTTGTTGTTGTTTAAGTAGTGAAGCAATATCATAAAAGTAATTAAAATAATCACCACCTCTGCTGAGTTTCAATTTTAAAAAAAACTATTTGGGGATTAATTGAACCACCCTCCATTTAAAAGCAAAAGAGTTGGGAAGTTTTAAGACTTGCGGAGTTCAACTCCCAGAATTCCCCAGCCAGCACAAGTCTTAAAGTCCCTAAGTTTGGATACCCCTGGACTACACCATTCCGGGAAAAAATGGCTGTCCAATCTCTTCTTTAAATCTTCCAATGATTTGACCATCCACAACTTCAAGAGGGAAGCCATTCCAGTGATTGATGGTTCTCACTTACCAAGAAATTTATCCTGGAGAAATTTATCTCTAGGTTGGATCCCTTTGATAAACTTCCATCTCTTGACCTGTCTTCAGGTGCGTTGGAGACTAGGTTTATCACAGGTTCTGGTAGCGGAAATGTTGAGTAGTTCGGAGAACCAGTAAATGCCACCTCTGGCTGGCCCCAGAGTGGGGTGGGAAGTGGGAGATTTTGCAGTGTCCTTCCACTGCCATGCCCACCAAGCCCACCAAGCCACGGCCACAGAACCGGTCGTAACATATTTGAATTTCACCACTGGTTGATCCCTCCCTCTTCTCTGTAGTAGCCCCTCAAATATTGGAAGGTTGCTATCGCGTCACCCCCTGGTCCTATATAATATAAACACAACAAACGAACACAGTTCATAAAGGGCTGTTTTAAATTAAATTTATTAAATTACTTAACACTGCTGTATCGCTTGGCCAAGAAAGACACTTCCAACACTGTGGGATTCAACACCTCCCCCCCCCCCTTCCCCAGAATCGCCAATTAATAAGCAATCCCTCCTTCCTCCTGATTTCCAAGGAGGAATCTGGAAATCTATCTCAGCTGTCAAATCCAGGGTCAGCCCTTCGGAGCAATCCATCTTCTTAGCAATGGATCAGATGGCCTCAGCCGCTGGAGTTTGCATCACCAGCAGCCCCCCCACCCCCTCTCAAAAGCCGGGCACTTGTGAAGATGGCTAAGGCACGTTTGGCTGCACAAGTACATGGAGGTGGTATAACGGCGAGTTGGTCTCGTGGTCTTGTACCTTGACGTGGTCGGGTTCCCCTCCCGGGGGAGAAACAGAAGATTGCCAGGTTTCCAATATACCAATCGGACAAGTGCACTTAATGTTAACAGCTGTAAATACACTTTTTGACCCCCGCGTTGGAGATTAAAGGGGAAGAAGAGAATACGCCCCCCCAATCCTAACCAGACTGGCACATCTGAAATGCCTGGACTCCCTTGCCCTCTCCTGCCTCTATGAAAAGGCAACTTCCTTCAAAACAACCTTTTGAGGGCCTTGAGATTAGCCAACCTTTGATGACAACCTCCTTCTCCTTCCTAACCGTGGGACAGTCAGGCAAAATTGCTGTGCAGCTCCGGGTTTTGCCCATTTCCTTCTCCATATGGAGATGCCCCCCTTTTCCTTCTTCTCTTACCTTTCTTTGCCTTTCCTTTCCTGCTTTAACTTTGGATAGCAGGATAGCCCTTTCGCATCGTCGGTCGATTCTGGCTGTCATCCCCACTTGATGGGAAGGAAAGATATCTACCCCCCCCCCCCCATCCATTACATTTAAGATCAGAGATGCGCTTAGTCGGGCAACACGCACGTCCTTCACAGAAGGATTTTTTCTTTTCCACACTTTGCCCAGAAAAAATAATAATAATAATAAAACATCCGTTCAACTCTACTGTTTTAGGTATAAAAACTATCGGCAAATACTGTCGGGTATTCTCCTTTCCATCGTAGTCTCTAAAAACCAACCAATCAGATGGGAGAGGAATAAACTTCACTATCTCCTCTACCATCCTTCATCATGTTCTGTAAGAGATGAATTTCCCGGGGGACTTGAACCAACATTCTTTGTCTCGTCTTCATCTAAACGGGGAAACAGGGTGGCAGGCAGCTATATAATCCTTCATTCGGTTGCCTCTTGCCCATTAGGCAACATCCAATATGATAAATTAAATAATAAACAACCACCCCCCTCTACTGGCTTGCAGAGGAAGGGAGAAATGATTAATGAAACCACTTTATGGGACGATCACTTTATCACTGTGGGAAACTGTGTTGGTATCTTCTTTGAGGCCCATCAACGGCAATCCTAGCTTTGACCTTCCAAAGGAGCCTCTGGTGAACGCAGGGACCTCTCGGTTGGATGCCAAAGGAAATTCTGCCACCGCCCAAGCGAAGAAGATTCCGTGGAGGGCAGTGCCCCAGAAGGAAGGAAAACTCCTGCTTCCAACGGATGGTGTCACCCAGGTTCTCTACAGCGATGCTTCTTACTCCTAGCTGCCAACACGCTTAGAAGCCGTACGCTTCCATCCAGCCTGATCCCCATTTGCGGGGAACTGCGAGGCCTCTGCACCAGCAGTCAGCATTGGAGTGGAAGGGACGGCGACGTGTTAGAAAGGGCCAGCCACAGAGGGCCTTGTCCTGCTCGATGTGAACGTAACGGCTGTCCCTCTTACGTCAGAAGTAAGTGAGGTTCTTGACAACTCCCAATTCAAGCATCTGTTTTATTGCTAATGCCTCGTGGGAGACATTGTGCCCTGAAGACTGTGGAGCAAGAGGAGAGGAAATCTATTAGTAGAAGCAGCAAGCTGGGGTGTCTTTTTTCCACCCCCCATGTTTCATGCATAAACACATAAACACACAGAGCATCTTCAATTAACTCTGGCATTCAGATTTACCCACTTTGCTAACAAAAACATAGTTAACAAATTGCAAAAAAAAAATAAAGGCAAAAAAGGCAGCTCGCTGGAGTAGGTTTTTTTTTTAAAAAAAAAATGGATTTACAATTTTGGCACATTCTAAAGCCGCTGCCTATAGTTTCTCTGTTCAGTTAAACTGGGATTGATGCTATCTTGGTCATCTCCTGTACTACTGTAAGGCGCTCTACATGGGGCTGCCCTTAAAAAGTGTTCGGAGACTACAATTGGTCCAGAATGCAGCCGCGCGAGCGATATTGGGTGTACTTAGATACACCCATGTTACACTTATCCTCC